TGGGGGGGGCAACGTGACTGTGGGGATGGGTGCACCGTGGTGTGCTAGGAGCATTGGGAGGCCCTGGGCTGTGACGGCGCTGGCACCTGGCAGTCAGTGGGTAACCAGGATGCCCCCAAGACCTAAATCCTGGGCTTCACCCCTTCCCCAAGTCCAGGAGCCCTGAGACCTTCTAAGAGCAGGCAGAGAGAAAAAGAAAATATGACTTTAGACCCCTTGAGGTCAGAGCCAAACCGGATTTAAGGGCAGCAAAGAAATACAGCATTTTTTGTCCCATGAGGATCATGTTGTAATTGATTCCATAACAATGTTTTCCTGGAAAACATCAGAGTCTGACTCATTTATCCTTTTGATCCTGAAATCTGGGGCTGTGTGTTACACCTCAAAAAGCAGCCCATGCTATTGTCAAAACAACGTTGGCTCAGACTAAAGATTTGGGCCGCAACAGGCATCCACTCGATGGCCCGGGTGATAATGTGGCAAGAGAGGGCCTGGAAGGATATGAGGTTCTTGTCTTGGGACTGAACGCAAGCCAAACAGCAAGAGGAAACTGGGAACCACGTTTTTACACCCTGGTACTTGAGGGAGGCAATTGAGGTCCTCTTGGGATTTATTCCCTGTTTGGCTGCCTGCTGTGGGACAGAGCTGCCTGTCACTTCCTGCATGTCACCTCCTGCTTTCTGTCGGGATTCAAACTCAAACTCTTGGGTCTGATATGTTTCATCCAACCCAACCAGGACCCGACTAACAGTAGCTCTGTGGAGTGATGGTTCTGGAAAGAACCAAATAGGGTTATAAATAATCCACTTAATTATTTGGAAATAATCAACATAAAAGTAATTAGGCTGTAGGGCATTGCTCTGCTTCAGCTAATGTACTTGCCCCCTGCTTACCTGTCTGGGTTTGAATCCTGGCTCTTTTACACACTAGCTGTGACCCTGGGCAAATAATCTCTATGTGCTTTAAATTTCCTCCCTTGTTTTTTATTTTTATTTTTACTTATTTATTTATTTTTCCATTGATTTTTTTAGAGAGAGTGGAAAGGAGGAAGGAGAGGGAGAGAGAGAGAGAGAGAAACATTGATATGAGAGAGATACATCGACTGGTTGCCTCCTGCTTGAGGATCGAACCTGCAACCCAGGTACGTGCCCTTGATTGGGAACCGAACCCGAGACCCTTTGGTCCACGGGCCGACTCTCTCACCACTGAGCAAAACGGGCCAGGGCTAAATTTTCTCCTTTGTAAAATGGGGTTAAGAATAGTATTTATATCTTTGGGTTCTCATGTATCTCCTTGAACCAAACTAGTGAAGAGAAGGATGTCTGGCACATAGTAAGTGCTCAGTAAACTCTAATCATTATTGTTATTTGTCTTTCACCTGAGTAGGAAAAAGGGACATATTTTATTTTAGTAGTGATAGAATTCAGAGAAAGAGTTTGAAAAAGCCTATTTCATTTTTTTCCCCTTTAATTTGTAATAGGTCTATTAAGAAGAAGAATTTCACTAAACATTCTAAATAGTGACCACTGAGGTAGAGCTGACGGAATATCATTCAGTATTTAGAAGATTTTATTTCTTTTTTAAAATCCAGATTTATTTTTATAATTTAAACAATAGGTTCAGATTGCTTGTTTCATCATAAATAAATGGTGATCTTTCTGATCTAAATTCCCAGCCTAACTGGGGTAGCAGATGCCAGCCGTGGTGCCTTCTGTGTGGTCAGATAAAAGCTAAAATGCACAGCACCCCCTCCTCCCAAACAGAGGTGGCACCTGTTGCCTGGGGTCTAGAGATCAGCAAGACATAAAAAGAAATATGTGTAGGACTGTTCCTTAAACCCCACTTTCTAGTGTTGAGAATGGGGAGGTTTCATGTAACAGCCGCTCTGTGTGTGGGTCGCAGACTCAGCCCTTCCACAGAGCAGGGTATTTTCTTCCACATTCAGAGCTTCAAGTCTGGGACAGAGGCATGAGCAGGGCACCATCAGGGCACATCATGGGCGTGTGCATGTGTGTGTACCTGTGTGCGCGAGCATGTGCACACGTGCGCACGTCTGGGTGTATGTGTGTGTGACCATTACAGCTCTCTGACCGTGTGAGTTAGATCGCAGCCAGACGGCGCCGCCGGGGTTCTTAAAGCTGTCAGGCCTCACCTGACCCTCCCGGCAGTCTTTCCATTAACAGAGCTTCCACAGACTCTTGTACCTGCTCCGATGGCTGCTTCTGTCCCCAGAAAAGAAGCCAGTAACATCCTGTTGGGACCCTGGGGAGTGAGCAGCACTCCTAACCGGGCTCCTTGCCAATGCCCGGAGAGCCAAGCTACCGGGCACGTTTCGCTTTGTCTTTTTTTCCTTCTGACTTCCTCCCAAGCTAGCGGGGGCCTACTGCTCAGCGGTGGAAAAGGAGGCCTGTCTTTACTTTGGGATTTATGACAATTATCTTTATCCCAAGGAAGCCCTGCGCTTCCTGCCCTGCCTCTGGGTTTAAGCCAGGATATGGCACCTGTTTTCGGTGGTGCGGCTCGAGCATCTTTTGGATGAAGACCAGCCCGGGCCGCCTCTGATTTTCCTGCCGCGCGTGGCCCTGGCCCTCCCCGAGCGACTCCCGCGCTCTGCGGTGCGGAGCCCCGGCTGCGCTCCGGCTCCCGGCACCTGAGCGGGCAGAGTCACAGTCTGGACGCAGAAACGAATACATCCGTTTCATAACCAAGCTCGTCCGAGAGGTTTATTCCTGTGCTGCCAACAAGTCCCACTGACCAAACTCCCAAGTCGCTTTTAACTCAGCTGTTTTTAAACCACCCACATAAATACATATAATAAATACAAAAACAGAAACGATTCTTTTTAGTCTTTGGTATATAGAGCTTTTCTCCTCTTATTGCCCCCTCATTCCGTGTTCTAAGCCCATCTCCTCATGTTCACATTCTTCCTTTGGGCACAAAAGCAGCCCAGAGGTAAACTCTGTCCCTCAGGGAGGGACGGGCCCCGGGGACTCACACATAGTCGTTTAGCCTGTACCCGCTGTAAGAGGCCGAGGTGACAGACGGGGCCCGGTTGTCCTTGAAGGCGGCGGGCGGCCGGTAGGAGGGCGCGGTGGCCGCGGTGGCAGTGGCGGCCCTGGGCTGGGCCTGGTAGGGCCTGGAGGGCGCCTCGTCCTGGCAGGACAGGCAGAGCAGGGTGCCGCCGATGAGCGACAGGGAGGAGGAGATGAAGCCGAGGTACAGGGCCTGCCCGATCTCGAACTTCATGCTGCTGGGCAGCAGCGGGTTGTAGAAGTTCTGCACCACGTCGTGGGTGGTCCAGGACACGGCCACCATGCAGAGCAGGCCGCCCAGGAGGAAGAGCACCCCGCCCAGCACGGCGAACGTGGCCTTGGCCGGCGTGCCCTTGGCGCAGCGCGTGCACTTCATGCCGATGACGGCGCAGGCGCAGGCCGCGCCCGACAGCAGGCAGGAGATGACCATGAGCGCGCGCGCCGCCTGCAGGTCCTGGGGCAGCGCCAGCAGCGAGCGGTACACCTGGCACTGGTAGATGCCCGTGCTGTGCCACACGCACTCCATCCACAGCCCCTTCAGGTAGGACACGGCCGTCAGGATGTTGGTGCCCACGTGCGCCGTCCTGCGCCAGTGCGGCAGGATGGTGGTGATGAGCGTGCCCACCATGCCCAGGAAGCTGAGCAGGAAGCCCAGCAGCTGCACGGCCGTGCTGGCCATCGCCCCGCCGGGTGGCCGCTGCGCTCGCTCAGGCGCCCGCAGGAGTCCTAAGGAAGCCGGGGGCAGCAGGGAGAGAGAGGAAACGGGTTAAACGTTATCTCGGTGCCTTTATTTCTGCCACCGAAGACGAGTTTTCCGTAGGCGGTCGGTGTGACAATGAACATTTTAAAGACTAGTTTCTGAGACTTCACTAGGTGGATGAATAAGCTGCTCCTCTATGACACTTTCCCTGGAAGGGATGACCGCGGGAGTCCGGCTGGCCTGAGCCTCTCAAGGACCCCAGGGAAGGGCCCACCGGAGCCCCATTTCTGAGCTCTCAGCACTTACCAATCACACGTGGAAAGTCCTACCTCGTGTCCCCCCTCAAACACTTCTGCTGCATTGGGATCTCATTTTGTCCTGTTCCATCAGTAATCACTTCAGTTGTTAAATCAACAAATGGACTGACAGTGTTAACGTATGTACTGCTTCTGACTGTCAAAACAAAAGATTTTCTGATCGTGGGAGACCCCTGTGCGCTCAGGTAGGGAGGAGTTCAGCATCCATAGGTCGGATGGTGCCTTCCAGACTCCCAGCGCTGGATGTGATCTTAGAGACTGTCCACTGGCGCCAGGGGCAGGAATTACCAAGGTCACCAGCTCCTTAGGTGCTGCAGCCAGGACCACAAACCAGGGACCCGCCCACCCGGCGGGGCACCTCCCATCACACCACCCTGCAGAGGGTGCGCTTGTTACAAAACAAGCTGCTACCTGGCCGTCAGAGCCATTTCAGAGGTTTAAAATCATTCAAATCTCGGCAAGATCCAGAACACTCTGGGGGCAAGGATCTGCACCTCTGTAGTGCCAGGCACATAGGGGATCCTCGAGAAATCTTGGGAGGGAGGGCGGGAGGCAGGGAGGGAAGGAGATC